AACATAGTATAATTTGTACAAAAATAAAAATTTGTATTTTCAAAAATAAATGAAAATACAATTGAACTGAGATGGTTATTTACATAAACCACTTAAGAAAACGTAAAAACACTTTTCATTAATAATGAAACTATCCCTGAAGTCATTCTTATGTATGTAAAGAATAACTGGAGTCAAAGTACTAAAAAATTCTACATTAGGGATAAAAAGGTAAAAAATTACTTTTATTTTTTTTCAAGCCTATTGCAAACTTCTGCGGAAAGGAGTCAGAATTCTCTCCCTCAAAGAGAAAGCTTTTTTTTGTCTTGTTTTAATTGTTTAGAGAACAAAAGCTGAATCTCAGGTGAGAAACTTCAGGGATTCCATTATGTTTTCAGATTTATCTAAGGAGATTAGCAACAAGTGTAATTTTGAATGATCAGTTCTATCCTAGCCAAGCTTTGTGTTTTCCCATAGCTATCTGACATGTTTCACAGTTCTTGACAACCTGAACAGTACCATTTTAGGTGGATGATACAACACTTCTACATCGAGGGAGTCCTTATCTCCCTACATTGATTGACAGGAAAAATGCATGGAGACATCTGGGGTTTAAGAGAGTTAAGAAAACATGGCTAAATTTAATCTCACTTTAGACCTTTGCTCAGCATAATTAGTTTGTAAATATGTAATTTATTTTGCTCCAAGGGTTGTAAATATTCTGTAGCCTCTGCTTCCCTTGACAGCCAAAGGGAGGAATTTATAATTCATTATCTGAACAAACTAAACTTATTTTGTTCAACTTCTTTTAATAAAGTTTGATTCCCTTCTTAAAGAGAGAATACAACTTCAGATTTTTCTCTCTAGTAATATCATTTCCATACTTGTAAAAATAATATTTAAAAAGTTCCTATTTCCCTTTCATTTGCCAGTTAAAATGTCATTGTTTTTATGCATTTCAGTATTTTGCTGTACTTTTTACATTTATAGCCAGGTGACAAAATGGCCATTTATGAAACTCAATTATATTTAAATCAAGCAGAAACATTATATTAGTGAGGGAAATTAGCTTTTTTATAGAACCTGTCCCTGTTGCCATGTCAAAGAAAAATTCATGATTGTTTATAATTTTCAGAATTGCAGTATGGTTTCCAAATCATGCTGACTGAATATAACTATGAAAGACCTTAATGTATGCCATTTGTCCTTAAAGAACTTTTAATGGTTTGTAATCTAGACCTACTTTCACCTAATTTTTGAGTTTGAATTTCTAATAAATTGTAGAGAAAGAACCCATTCCCACACCTTAGTTTGTGGTTCTGTTGTTCTATTGTATGGACACACTTGGGGAAAGAACGTCTTTCATTAACTAACTTCATAATTTGAGGTGCTCTATTATAGAGTACACAGCATTTGAATTTCAAGTGGTGGTTTGCTTTTAAGCCCTACCTTGTGTATTCAGAAACCCTATGTTTGGTAATATGCCAGTAAATTATGGATGATTTCATGTATACATCCTCTCATTAAAGAAAGGCAAGCCAAATTACAGACGTAGGCTTTGCCTCCCCTGAATCTTTTCCTTTCCCTCTCTTTAAATTAGTCCCAATTTATGGAGTTGTTTCTATTTCACACAGTAATCTTTATGTTCACACAATGTTAATAAGCCTCATAACAAGGGTTATTGTACCAAAACCTTTAGAGTCAGAACTCAAAAACAGACTGATTTCTTGTATATCATTTTGTAAAACTGGCATTAATAGGCTTATTTCCACACCTCTCCCCTATAATTTGGAAGGTCCTCTATAAGGCCTCCCTCATCCACTTTACATTTAAGTGTTTTAGCCCAATGTTGTCATAACAGCTCCGTCATCATTTTGCCCTCTTTTCTCCTCTCCTCGGCAAACTGCCCTGCTGTGAAACTCAGTCAGTAAAGAGGAGAGTCTTGACACAGAACAGAAAAATAAGAGGAAACATGGGGAAAATCATCTCTGACTTGATCAGAACGCAATTAAAGAAATAGGTTTCCCCTTGCCAGAGGTAGAGGGACACCCAAAACTCACAATCCCTATGAAATGTTAGAGAAAGAGGAATGCTGGCAACCCAAGCCAGAAAGAGGTTTGTCTAGAATCACTCAGATAATTCAAGTAAAATATGGAGTTGCTTTGCCTTGTGTTGTGTGTGTGTGTGTTGTTTTAATTGTTTAATCCAAGTAATTTCCTCAATTTTCCCTGATTTGATCTGCTCTGATACTTTGATAGCTCTATTTTTATGCATTTTTAACCTAAAAAGATGAACAGTCTGATCTCCACACTTCTGATGAAATGAAGAATTTTATTTACAATTAAAATTGTGTGCTTTAAATTCTGTTGCTTTTCTTGTTTGATTACATAAAGACAAACAATTGAATCTAAGCATTACTAGTTCCACACAGCTGAGTTACAGTCTATCTCATAATATTAAAATGATGGTAACAGCTGCATCTTTACATCATAGAATATGGAGAGGCATGTCACATACCAAAGTTATCTGTAGCAGTAAAAGCATCTATGGCAAACTCTCATATATTCTTGTAGAGACTCTCTGTATAGATTATCTGTGTAAATGTTAAGATTTATAAATATCACTAAGACTATTTTGCCTGTAAACATAAAATATTTTTCCATTAAACAGAAAGTTAAAGATGAATAAATTTTAGATGATCCATTATTTTGTATTATTTCACAGTCTGTAGATAATATCCCCACTTGCATAAATAATTGATATACAGGGGTGATTATTTCATGAATCACAATTTTTTATCTATACCTTCTTTAAACTTATTTTTATACTTCGTTTCTATTACATTTAATAAAAGTGTCTTTTTAGAAGTTGAGAGACCACCTCAGTCCTAAGACCTGGTTGAATCTCAGTCAGTGGTGGAATCTGGCCCAGAGCCACATGACTTCTTTCATGAGTCTAAAGTCTGCATCACTAAATGTCTTATTACAAAGGTTATTGCAGTCTGGTTACTTCCTGCTGGAGTCTCTCATATGTCCATGCTACATCAAGTCATTCTTCATTAGGGTAAAGAATAGGATAATCAGATACAAACTACTCCATGACAGTATTGATTGTCCAACGGCCCAAGCATTTTTGTTACAAGCCCTGAAGAATAAACACACTTTTATAAGGCATTAATTTCTGCAGCTCTAGCTCACTTTGGCTTTAAATTTGCTATATTTATTAACTGATTAAATGATAAAATATGATGAATTTTTAACTCTTGAATTCCTTTGTATGCTGACCTTGAGTGGAAGCTTTCTCTCATAAGGTCAATAGGATTCCAACTTCTTAGCATTTTAGCTGCCTAACTCTTAGTTTTATTCCCTCTCCCTTTCCATAATCTTCATGACCAGTGTCATCTGTCCACTAACGGTCTCTCCATTGTAGTCTTCTTTTTCTTGGGCTGATATTATGTATTTCACTGACTCCAGGACAACTGGGTTTGGATTTCCTGAAAAAGCTCCCAGGTTGTTAGCTTGTCAGAACTAATTGAATTCAAGTCTTAATTTTCTGATTTACCTTGCAGCTTCTAATCAGTTGTATTTCCCTGCCAATCCATTTTTCCCCAGTTGGCCTCCTTAGCTTTGACACCATGTGTTTTCATCTGAGGCTTGACAAGGCCATGCACTCTCAAAAGCAAGTTCAGTTTTCTTACAAGGTAGAGAAACTGAGAAATGCAAGCATAAATTTCACTAATTGGAAATGTATCCTTTCTAATGATTTTGAAACATCTGTACTGCATTAAATAAGGTCTGGTTGATATCTGAACTGTATTTTTGCCATTAATATTTATCTGGTATATATGATAATATTAGGGAAAAGAAGGGAGCACAAGGAAGTATCAAAACAAATTCATTAAGTATATTCATTCAACATAAAATGAAAAATGTTATTTAGTGAATATATATTAATTATCAGAAACATGTTAATAAATTATATTGGAATTTTATTGACTGTGTATCGTCTTCAGTCATTGTTCATGTTAATCAATAGTCCTACAAATGTGATCCTGGTTACTTATGGTTTAATCTTTTATTTTATGATTGATTATGTCTTCTATTATGAATTGATCATCTGACTTTAAGTTATTTTGTAAGCCAGACATAACTTCCTTTTGATTGTTCATCAAGGCATTGCCATTTCCACTAGTTAATTTTTGCCCTTTTTAGCAAAAACAGTAAGGATAGAAGCAACTATGGAATTTTTTTAGCTCCACCATAGGAATTTGTAAAGATGCAAAATTTTGAAATCTGCAATTGTATTTAAAACTTTCTGGCAAATTAAAGGGGCTGATACTCCCAAGAGATGTTTCTAATAAACTTTTATATCCCTGTACTTTTTCAGATTCTTTCTTCTCCTTTGTGTCATATTGAATCCAGGCTTGGTATGGTATATAATTGAGAAGAAATTCAGAGAGAAAATACAAGAGATGACAAGCTCCAAGCTAGTGTTAAAAATGATTTGATTTGATTTGAGATTATTGAACAAATGATCCACTATTATAGTAGTCAACTTAGTGACACATCTTTGATGTGACTCAAACACCTTATACTGGAGGCCAGACTTCTAGATATTGAATTCTATATCTCCATTAACTTCTGTAGAAATCATCTGTTTTGAGTAGGCAAAGTATTTGAGAATGCATTCTGTAAAGATGCTTTATTTAAATCCTTTTTTAAAAATTGAATATTAAAAAGATGAAAGAAAATATTTTACTTTCTACTTTGTGAGTTGTAAGTATCACAAAAGGAGCTACTAATTTTTATCTTTGAAAGTTACTGCATGTGGGTAGAAAGCTAAAATAGAGATGAAGAAGAGGATTGTTCACAAATCATTCTCTTCTTATGTGTATTTCTTATTTTTTTCAGGTATTTCATGGAAAGATTTACAGTGATATTGTTCACTCAGCTTTGTAATAGTTTGATTTGTTTTACTTATTAAAATGCATTAATCATAGGCCTATTTTTTTTTTCTTTTAGCAATTGTTGTTTTGAGCAACCTGGAACCAAATACAACTTATGAAATCAGAGTTGCAGCTGTAAATGGAAAAGGACAAGGAGACTACAGTAATATAGAAATTTTCCAAACATTACCAGTTCGTAAGTAATCTTCTCTGTTTTGCTCTTTGTTGCTATGCTCTTCACTTGCAAATTTAAGTGGAATTTTAAAATGCAGGGAGACATTTCAACACTTTGAGGAAGTGAATTATGTCCTTGTTGAAGTGGTTTCTGAAGATGGTGGCATCTCAGATTTATAAAAAGTAACATTGTGCTGGAGCAAGGGAAACAGAAAAGTGCACTGCAATATATACAGTAAAATTGCTCTCAGGAAATTGTCCAATCAGGAAGGTGTCCTACTTATTCAGTCAGATTAATTAAATTGTAGTGCTCAGACTATATTCTGTGAGAGAGTAGACATGTTTAATGTTCTAGTCTTTTGCTGAAGCATGACCATTGCCTTTATTCCATGAATTACGTAGACCCTAAGTGTGAGAAAAAGGTACTAGTAAATTAATCCATTGCAGTGGTGACTGCAGAAGAATAACTATTGCAGCCTCCTTCTTGTTACTATCCTCTTTTGGAGTGAAGTCAACTGCATTTACATGAAGTTAGACAGACTTAAAACAGTATAGATTTCCTTTATGTTGAATAAATTGTTTTAAAATGTGAGAAAACTTGAGTGTGACTAAACAAACACCATTATATAATCTATACATAACCCTGTCTATCATATACTTATATTAGGGCAGGAAAATTGGCAGCAATAATTATCTTATCCTAATTTGTGACCAGTACTTTTCTGTTGGTTATCGTAAAATGTCAGATGTGTTCTCTTGTCTCCGTTCCTGATGCCAGTGTCTTTTTCAGTTCCTCTTTATTATTATCACCAGGATGACTGCAAGTACATCTTGACTCATAATCCTACTTTCAGACTAAAATGATTCTAGAACAACTTTGCCTTATTTAAATGGAGATCTATCCCTTCACTGCTTGTAGTCCTCAGCAGCACCACTCTTCATAGTTTTTCTCATATTCTCTTATTGAATTACTTTAAGGCATTATTGTACTGTTTTGTGGAGTAGTTTTAATTCATTTATGGAAAATATATTATGTTGCATGTAAATCATGTCATGTCATAATACCTTCACACTAATTTAATTAACTTTAATGAACAATCACTGTATAATTTCTCCATTTACCTTACTTCTATATGGTTGTACTATATATACAAGGCTATTTTACTATTTATTTGCATGCCAGCACTCTCAATTGTCATATTTCTTTAATGATTTGCCTTTTCTCAAATAAAATACCCACTTGCTTAAGTTTATCAACACTGTATTGGAAATAAAGGTAATCTGCTGAGAAAAACCCCAGATTCTCTAGTTTGGGAGGCATGCCGTCCTCTCCACTATATTCTGTTTAGTTTGTCTGTCTTGGCATTCCTCTGAGTAGGCCAGGTACTACAGTTTTCTGGAACCTTGCAAATTAGATCATGTCTACTAAAAGTTTCTTAGTGTTACCTTATCATATCCATATCCATAGGGAATTGGAGGAAACAGAGGCAAAGGATGCCAGTGCATGCCCAAGGACATCACATACGTGACACAGGACAGAGAATTCCCATTCCAAGTTGCCAAGCAGTGATGGCACCCTTCATATAGAAAAGTCTTCCACTTCAGTAGATCCCTGTTCATATTAAAAATATTACAAACATCTTTATTATAAGACCATCTCCATATGAATAATAACACTAAAAGGAAGTATTTTCATGAAACTAGAATTTAAAAAAAAAAGACAGATTTGAAACCCGCCTATGGATTGGATACTACAAAATTTCTTTATTAAAATCTGCATCTAGCTAAAATCTGTTTATTAAAGCAGATAACTAATTGCTAAGCTATTGTAGTTCCTGGTAGGTATATATTTTATATAGTTTGATGACAATATGTTTATATTCATAAATATTTACAAAATGTTTACAAACTACTTACATTAGAAAAAAGATAGTAGACTATTAATATAAGAAATAAAGTTGTACACTTGTGTAATGTAATGAGTTCTATTCTCAGAGCATTTGCAATATAAACATTATATTTAGTTCTGAGTTTTCACAATTTTGGCATGATACTTCCAGATTTATGAATGTTTCTATTTCTTGGATGGGTAAAAAGAGGATGGAGTTTATATCACAATAAAGGGCAAATAGGAAGTGATAAACCCAGGATAACATCATACATTTTGATTACATGACAGTGTTTTTTTAATTAAAATTCAGTTTCTCTACATATATGAGGTCTGTGCAAATATCAAGAATGTTGTATTGCATATATAGGTGAACCAAGTCCTCCGTCGATACATGGACAGCCAAGCAGTGGGAAGAGCTTTAAACTCAGTATCACCAAACAAGATGATGGAGGGGCCCCTATTTTGGAATACATTGTGAAATATAGAAGTGTAAGTACCCTGTTTATTATCACTTTGCATAGTGTTTTCAAGTTGCATTAAATTTGCATTGAATTCATAGATATATCAGAAGTGAATGCATATTAGGTAACAACAATGACAAAGTGTTTTCATAGGAATTCAAATGCTAATTTTCCATTGCTGAAATTCATCATTATATGTTGTAGAATGTTTGCTTGTTTGTTTGTTTTTTGTAAAATCTAAGCGTAGATAATCAAAATAATGCTATGGTTTTCATCTTGTGATTTCTAAACTTAGCAACATTTCAGCAATGAGATATCACTTTCCCTGTTTTCTGACAAGGTTAGCAGTATATTTCACCTTCCACTATGCTTGATTTTGGTAACTTCAAGCTAAGCTATCTTCTCAACTTTAGTTACTGTAGGTAGGATAAACAAATCACATCTCAAATTTACTTTATTATTCATTTTCATGAATTATTAAATTATTATTAAATCAAAATATATTTATTATTTAATATGGATTTTATAAAATAAATCACCTTAATCAACATTTTAAAAAGAATGGCCACATTTAACTTGAGAAAGAGGGAATAGATTTCTTCAAGTTTAATTAGCACTAATATGTGATTTTGGACAGCTCAAAGCTGCCTTGGGACTTGTCTTCTATGCAGGGGATGAAGGATGTCCTCTAGTTGCAGAGTGATGAAGAAAGTCACCTGATAGATTTTGCCTTCATCTGAAAATGACTTCAAAGTCCACTAGAAGTGATTTCTGTTAACAACTTTGCCATAAGAACCATTGAGTATTTGTGTCTACTATGGAATATGTTAAAAGTGAAAGACAATTTTAATTAAACTTTGTAAAGTTTATTTACTAATGATTATGATTATCTCCATAATACTGTGTCAATTCTATTTATTTTATTTTTTTTCCTTTTCCATCCTTTCAAAATTCACTTTAATACATTTAATAAATTCCCTTAAATTTGTTTCCGTGACAAAATTATGTGCAGCTATCATTTTTAATTCACATACATCTTTTTGTATTCCAACACCTACTCATTTCTTGCAATTTTTGAAATGTAACACCGAATTTAAAATTTTTTCTGGCTTCCAGTTGGCTTGATTACTTTTGTGTGTTTGGTTGTTTTATAGTGTCAATGTAATGGTGGCCTCACAAAACAGATTGAAAAATATTCCTTATTTTTTTTCTCCACATCAGGCAAACCTTGGAAATTTAGGGATCATTTTATTTTTAATTTATTTTTTTTACCTTCTATTTTACTAATGTTTATGATTAGGCCCATAATGTATCAATTTCATGTTTATGTTTACTGAACACTTATTAATACTTTCCAAGTTTATTATATTTTAGAAAATAGTGTAATTGCTCCTTAATAGTACATAGATGAATTTTAACTATTTTCCCACAAATCCACAATTTTCTAAATTATAATGTTGTTGCTCTTAAATTCAAACATCTAAATATTTTCATTTTTTTTAAATAATTTTTATTGGAGTATGGTTGCTTTACAATGTTGTGTTAGCCTCTACTGCACAACAAAATGAATCAGCCATACACATACAGATATCCCCTCCCTTTTGGACTTCTCTTCCATTTAGGTTACCACAGTGCATTAGGTAGAGTTCCCTGTGCTGTACAGTATGTTTCCATCAGTTGTCTATTTTATACGTAGTATCCAAACATCTCAATTCTGAGGGATAGTAAAAAGGAGTCTAATTTTGAGTAGCACACGTCAACAATTAATTTTAGACACCAGTTCAGTCTTTTACATTTCCAACTGATATCCCTTCCCAGGACCCCTCTTTGTTGCAGGTTTCAAGCTGGGGATGATGAACAGCTGTGTGTGTTTTATGGCTAATCTGCTATGGAGGCTTCATGCCTCCCTTCCAAAACAACTCTGAAAGGATCACTTGTCTCTCTATAAATCTGATGGTGTTTCAGTAGTCAAGCCAGGTTTCTTGGCCATTCTTATTTGACCATCTGGAAACTCTTTGGAAGGGAAAGAGTCTCTCTGTAAGGGTCACACACTTAAATCAAATTAGTGTGAATTAAACTGGGAGAAAACAACTTGAATGCAGATTGTGGCCTACAGTTGCACCCAGAAAAATGTATGGTACTAAATCCAGATGAATGGTAAGAATTTGTATGTAACCTCAATAAAATCCCATGGTGAACCCTGAGATTCAATGACCAGTTGTAAAAATATGCTTAATATACTCTCTATATGTATAATTTCTAACTAAAACTAAAAGCTGTGCTTGTCTTGGCCTTTTGAAGAGTTGATATTGGAAATAACACAAATGTTATATTGAGTTTAACCAGAATCACTCATTTCAATTGATGATAGCAAATATTTATTCTTTCAAATTGTATCTTTTCTTCATCTATTAGTGAGTTTTATTAATACAGCCTGCATACGTAGGAATGCTGTGACTTTGTTCAGCTATACAGTCAGGTGTCCAAATTGTTTTTCCTGATGTTCTTTCATCCTTAGCATGTTGGCTTTTGTCTTCATATAGATTATCTTGTGTTCCTAAGATGTTGCCCTCACATCTACCTTTAGAATATGAAGAGAGCAAAAAGAACAAAATAAGCAATAGGCTGTTTAAGCTTAATTTATCTGTTTTTCCAGCAATACCATACACATTTTTCAAAAACTCCACCAAGCAGAATTAGAATTATGTCTCATTAGATAGAATATGTCTCATGACCACCACTAAAATAAAGGTGTTATAGTTGGGAGTTGGGTCAGCTAAACAATGGAGTCTTCAACATACCATTAAAGTAATTACCTTTAGCATTATAAAGGCTGTCTTAGTCTGCTAGGGCTGCCATAACAAAATGCCACAGACCAAGTGGCTTTAACAACACAAATGTGTTTTCTCACAGTTCTGGAGTCTGGAAGACCAAGATCAAAGTTTCAGCAGGTTTAGTTTTTCCCAAGGCCTCTCTCCTTGGCTTGTGGATGGCTACCTTCTTGCTGTGTCCTCACATGACCTTTTGTCTGTGCACACACATCTCCGGTATTTCTTCCTCGTCTTATGAAAATACAAGTCCTCTTGGATTAGGGCTCCATCCTAAGGACCTCTTGTAACCATAATTACCTCTTTAAAGGCTACATCTCCTAATAGAATCACATGGGAGATTAGGACTTTAACATATGAATTTGTGAGGGTGTACACAATTTAGTCCATAACAGTGCACCTGTCATGAATCCTATGTATCTAAAAAGGCACATTATTGGCACTTTGGGTGGCATAACAGTGGCCCATCCAGAACCACCCATTACAGTATGTTTAGCTTCTCCCACCGCCACTCACTCCATTGCAAATAGTGGTCCCAGTCATTGTTGAAATGGAAATGTTCACTGGAGTATCACTACATCTGTTTAGAGCCAATTAGATTCATGAAATGGAAATAGACATTCAAGGGGAAATATATGTATATTTGAAAACATAAATTGCTGTTTAAAATGCTGACCAAGTTTACTTTGGTTTCCTTAATGTGTATTAGAATTAGTCTTCTATGAGAAGTTATGTGTGAAACATACAAGGACACAGATAGTAAAGTGTTACAGATAAGTGTTAATTATAATAAGATTAGAAAATTTTGAGTGATTCAGATTTAGATAGGTCATCAATATATTTTACCTTTACATGTAGCTAATGTGGCTCTGCCTCAGATTAAAACTTGAAAACGAAAAAGTTTTGTTTTCAGTAAATCTCTATCTTCCATTATTTTGCCTTTCTTCCCCCCACCCCGCCCCCAACCAGCCTAATGTTAGCAATGCCCTGCTTTTGCCTATTTACTCAATATCTGTGTTTACTCTACCAATAAAAGAAAGTTTTAGTTTCTCCCCAATTCCATCTTATTTCTGTCTTGCCAACCCTCTCCTCTTAATTTCCAAGAGCCAGCTTTATCTAACTACAAAAATTACTAGCGAATCTCATTTTAAATATCGTAATGAAAATGATGGGTTGCATAATTCAAACATAGCTATAATTGATGGATAATCAATTACTGGGTTACTGCTCTAAAGCTTATTAGCATTTTAGCAGGGAACACTGTTTTATTAGTAGAACTTTGGGCTTCTACGGTAAGATTTGTAAAAGTAATTCCTCTTATCCTTTGTATTTCAAGGAAGGTATTGCTAACTCTTGGAAGAAAAAAAAGAAAAAAATATATAATCATACATAAAGTGATTTTTTTTTACATTTTTTAATGGACAAACTGAACCTTACAGAATTGGGGTGACTTGGTCACCTGTGGGGATGGGGAACAAAACATGAGACTTTATAGCAGAAACGCTTTTGCAGTAGTAAGGGCTGAATTGAAATTTGCCTGTGGAGATTGTATTGACTCCTCATTCACTGTCCCATCTTAATCGTCTAGGACCTGTGCCTCCAAATACAACCATTCTGATCCAGTTTATCTTTACCATATCATTTAGTGGTATGCCTTGTACTCCAATACACTAAAATCATCTCCATATTCCTATGTTTTTCTTTCTCTCCCTTTATCACCTCCTCCATCCTGCAAATATCATGATCTGCAGGCCCAATTTGCAAATTCCAAGATTCAGTATAAAGTTATATTTATGTGGTCAAACAACAGCCCATCTTGGGGAGGAATAATTTTCTCCACATTTTCTTTCTAAACAGGTTACTTCTTCACATTAAAAACTTTCATGTTCAAGATTCAGTTGCTAAATATTTATAGCTGCATTTACCTTGATATTTGCACTTGTAATTGAAAATAACTATTTCAAAAATAACTTATTACTGTTCTTTGTATGATTCCGAGCTACTTCATCTATTAGTTCCTCAAACTGCATGAATTCCACAGTGGAGTAAAGTGCAGCTGAGCAACTTAAAATTTTATTTAGCTATATGCAATGCATTTTTTAGTTGGATAACCTCTATAGAAATAAAATAGGTACATTTGGAAAGTAAGGAACACTCTTATGAGTTTTAGTTGATTGCTTCTTTGACCCTACCTTTCAAC